CCCTTGACAAAACTTTTGTGTAAGCATTGGTTTATGAAGAACGGAAAATGACTTTCTGTTTCCAGGGGTTGTAAAAGTCTGTTGGTTTTTTGTTTGACCACTTTTGCCTGTTTTCAAACTAGAGTAAATGGGGAAGTTAGCCATCATCCCATTCTGTAAGCAAACTTGACATATTATAATCTTCGATGTAACAGAGACTTTGATGCATTTGATTTGAGAATGCGTCTTCCTGCCGTGCTTAGTACACTATACAAAGCTGTTAAGCGAAATGGAGGAGTTACATATGTGCACTGCACTGCTGGAATGGGAAGGGCTCCTGCTGTTGCGGTATGTTGCAGAAACTTGTAACTGTGCTCTTCTCTTTTTCCCACTTTTCTATCTTTACTCATCTTTCATTGTGAGTCTTTTTTTAGCGTAAATGCATTGCTTTCCAACATTGAAGCAATGTTTCAGCTCAGTTGTACTCAAGACTGTTGCAAACAGTTGTTGTCTTATTTATTATGCTTCTTTGGTTGACTAATGAAGGGAATGAACAAGTGTTGACTTCTGGCTGACTAATACTGAGAAGAGGTACTAATTTCAATTGCAGTTGACATACATGTTCTGGGTGCAAGGCTATAAACTTATGGAAGCTCATAGAATACTTATGGTAAGAGACTAATGTACTTTTGGTTTCTGTTATCCGTACATGGTTTTCTTGATACCTATTGGTTAATTCATCGTGATAATCACGTTCAACTTCAAGTAGTGTTACTGCCTGTGGTATTATGTGAGGATGTGGATTTTCTTCTTCTCCTATAAATCGATGATTATAACAACAAAACTTCTAGCACTCGAAGAAGATATCCTGGTTTTGGTACATTATATAGCCTAGCATTTAGAAAAATTTAATTGAGATATCTTTAGATGGCTGGTGAAATATAAATGCACTATAAAATTTCTCTAAACAACATCTCCGAAAATTTACTGCAGAGCAAAAGGTCGTGTTTTCCGAAGCTTGATGCTATCAGAAATGCAACAATTGATATTGTGAGTCATCGTTCAACTTTCACAGTGCTTGCACATATGTTTGTGGCTTCTCAGTTTCATTGATTAGCATAAATTACAGCAATTGTCGCTTAGATCCTTGGATCCTGATTATTGTTTTCTGGTATATGGACATAAAGCTTACAGGACTAAAAAAGAAGACTGTTACTTTGACACTGAAAGACAAGGGATTCTCCACAGTAGAAATTTCTGGCCTTGACATTGGATGGGGACAGGTAAATATGTCATATAAATATACTATGACGTATAAAAAAAAAATATGTCATATAAAAATATACTATAATTCCTTGGTCTTAAAAGTACGGTGTGCCGTATATGCTTTAAAGCTATGATGCACATTTCTCATTACTATGCCAAAGAAAGGCCTCTTTGATAAGAAATGTAATTCCTTTGTTCTGTTTTGTCTTTTTAACAAATTTTCCTTTCTATAGAGGATCCCTCTAACACTGGACAAGGGAACAGGATTCTGGAGCCTAAAGAGAGAATTGCCTGTGAGTTTTTTCTTTCTTAATGAACTGGAAAGATCAGTTTCTGCTTTTGTTATCATTTTCTGAGCACCACAACAATTCTGAAACGCAGGAAGGACAGTTTGAATACAAATACATCATAGATGGTGAATGGACACACAATGAGCTCGAGCCGGTTATAGGACCTAACAAAGACGGTCACACAAATAATTTCGTAAAAGTAAATGTCTCTTTTCTCTAAACATAGATAGATATGAACAAGTTTTTGGTGAATGAGACAGTGTTGTGATAATGTTGTTGTTTTAATGAAACAGATAGTGGATGATCCAACGAGCGTGGATGGTGCGACCCGGGAGAGACTAACGAGGGAAGACCCTAAGCTTTTGGAGGATGAACGCTTGAAAATAATCCAGTTCTTGGAGACTTATTCTGAAGCAGAGGTCTGAGAGTTGAAAGCATGCTTTTGAATCTGTGAATGTACAACAATAAAATGCTTTTATGTTGGTAATACATAAAGTTTTAGTCACCTGTTGTATTACGTTCAAGTATAATAATATAGGGAATTACATAAACTTTTGCTCCCGCTTCTCTTATTATCTCAAACTGAAAAAATAAGAAAAATGTGAAATCGGTGAGGGTCTAAATTGGTTCGAAAAGACCTGTGGGTGTAAAAACAGCGTTAAATTTTAGAAGGGCGGTGAAATTGAAATCTAAGAAAGAGAAAGAAGGGTAAAAAGATGTTATTACGCTTTTGCCCCGAAAGTTGAAAGAATTACCCAAATTCCCGCTTGCGCCTCCCAACACTCTCAGACTGTGTTCTGTGTACTGTGTACTGTGTAGGGTTTTAGCCCATTTGCAAAGATGATGACTCGTGAATTCTAATCACCCTCTCTCTCTTTCCTATTCTCGCGGTCGCAGGTAAATCTCTTCTTCTTTATCAATGGAGTTTTTGCTTTTGAATGATTGAATTCAATTGTTTCTCGCTTTTGTATATGTTTACAATTTTCGCTTCGCGTGTTTGTAATGTTCTCTGGATCGAGAATCTTTGTTGTTCTGTGTGGAAATGATGAACTAAACGGATCTGTCTTAAGGATTTTGTTTATTTGATGTTTGTCTTCTGTAATATTGTTTTGGGTGCTCGTCTGGTTCTGACTTTGCTTTAACTCGTCTGCAACAGGATTATATAGAACAAAGAGAGAAACATGCACTCTCTAAAGACTACTTGCGTTGGGCAAATATTTGCTCTAGCTAAGCCTCACGATTCTGCAGGTAAGAAGACGCGTAATCGGATTCCCAAAGAGGAGAGAAAGGCACTGATTGAAACATTTATAAAGAAGTATGCATCTGATTCCTTTTCCCTTAGCCAGAATTTCAATTGCACCTATAATTATTGGTGTTTATTTTCAGGCATCAGAACCTAAACAATGGGAGCTTTCCTTCACTTAGTCTCACACACAAGGAGGTTGGTGGTTCTTTCTACACCATAAGGGAGATTGTCAGAGAGATAATCCAAGAAAATAGAGTCCTTGGTCCCGGTGACTTGGTTCTTGCGGGAAAAGGCTCTGACAATTTGCAAGATCAGAGTCTGTCAAGTTCAATCCTGATGGATCCTGTGCCCCCTTTATCTTTATCCCCAGAAGGATTCCATTTGGCTTCAGATCAAAATTGTAATTTTTCTTCCGAGAATAAGTCAGATGAAAACTGGGAAACCATTAATGGTAGCCATGTTGGCCCGGAACACGGAGGATCTGATGTATTCAATTGTGGGGAAGTGAACACAGCTCAACGTTTCGAAGAAGATGCCGGGCTGATAGTACACCAATCAATGGGCTCTACTGACATATCCAGGACTCAGTTTGAAGAATCTTGCAGTGAAGAAAATGATACCAATCATGATGCAGAACTACAAGATAGAGTGCAGACAGTATGCGATAGTTTTGCCACCAAACCTCTGGGTAAAGAGCTCGAGGTGGATAACAAAGACAAAGGAGTTGAGGATATACCTTTCATGGAATCAGAAGGAACAAAACCTGTTAACAATGATGAAAAAGTGAATGATGCTGGAGCAGCGATGACTGAAATGGTGAATATGACAAAGAACGCATTAGGAGCAATTGATTTGCCAGCAGGAACAGTTGTTGAGACATTTCCGTTGAGATCTGTGACTTCATCAGTGGAGTCATTGGATGTACAGTCTAGTGAGTTGGATGAAGTTTGTGAGGGTGGGAAAGGAGCTGTAACAATTGTGGAAACCCATAGCAGTACCATAATTCCTGTTGATCTTGGGGAGATTTCTTCATCCACTTCTGCTGTACCTGAAGAAACGGGGACAGGAGTCATTGTTGGTCAAATGTCAAATCATATTTCTGTCCCTGTGGAAAAGGAATTTGGTGAGAAAATTGTAAATCCTGCTTCAGTAGATGTTGAATGTGTTGATACTAATGGGGCGGTGGTTGTGAATGCTGCGATTGGCAACATCCATGAGACTAAGGAATTTAGTAATGGAACTTTGACAACCGAACCGAAAATGCCCACATCTAGCACTGAGGTAAGCTTCGCTAAGTATACGTTGATTTTTACATTCTGTTTGAATATCAGAGCCAATAGTCTTCATGGTGTCCATGTAAGAAAAATGTTTGTGATCAGTAGGTCGTCCTGATATAGCCATTTTCGGTTTAGGAAAACGTATTTTATGATCGTGGCAGAAGAACATTAATGATGGAATAGCCAACCTCTTGTATCTTTTTGCTGTTTTGCAAAGCTGTTACTTGATTGCTCCCAAAAACTGTGTTTAACGATGAAAACTTTGCAACATTTTAAATTGTCTAACAGTCGAGAAATGGTAAGAATGACAAAGCAAAAGTGGACACTATGAGTAGCCATGCCAGGAACCAAGTTGCAAGTGTAGAGGAGAAGACAACCGTGGAAGAAGGGAAACTTGATGCTTCGGATAGTTCCAGCTCTCAGAAAGGAAACAATGCAACATTCAACAGAATTAAACCGTGAGTAAACAAACTTCCAAGTCTCAATCGTGTTTTGGGTTTTTTGGTATTGTGTGTTTGGTTCCCCAGAGGTTTCACATGCCTTACCTTCCTTTCCTTTTTCTTTGCAGCGAATCGTGGAAAGGTCAATCGAATATGGCAGGACAGGAAACTAATCCGCTTCTGGCAATTCTGAAATCTTTCTTGACAGCCTTTGTGAAGTTTTGGTCCGAGTAATAATAATACATTGTAGAGACCTTTTGGTTTGACTTTTATTAGTTTTGGCTAGTGAGAGTTGGTAAGATTAAGATGAGTTATGGTTTGAAATGTGTTGTACAATTTTTGTTTTGAATCTTGTGGTTAGATTATATGTAGTGGTTGAATCTTTGATACGAAAAAATCAAAATTCTAAGGATAATCCTCTTCAGCATTTCAACACAGCAGATCAGATCATGGATTATTTTGTTTATTGTATTAGATTTGCATGGGCGAGAATTGGAGCTTACATTGGTGAGAAACTAGTAACTAGTTGAACCGAGCTTTGGAGAGTAACTCCAAAAGCCCCAACCTTAAAATTTTTATTCAGATATGCCCCAAGCTTAAAATCCATTTTAGTTTTGATTTTTTTTTAATTCAAAAAACGGTTAAATACGAAATTASCCTTAATGAATCTGCAAATTTACCAAGAAAACCGGAACAAAAAAAAACTGATAAAGATTCGAAAAATCAAACAAAACGGAAAGAAAAAAAAACCGCTCTCGTGTTCTTCTTCTTCGCGATTTCAGGGGTTCTTATTTGCGAAAAATCGAAAACCAAACCGTAACAATTTCGTCTCTCTCCCGTATTTTTCTTGTTCGCCGGCGTCGACTCCATCACCGTCTGTTCAAGGTGAGTTGCGATTTTGGTTGCAAGAAGG